CTCTTGGTATGCTTAACTACCCCCCCCCCCCCTTTTTTTTACACACAAAAAAGAATTATTAAAATTATTCAAAATTAGATAAATTATAATAACAATAACTATATATATTATATATTATATATATCAAATATAGAGTAGATGTAAATCTATAGATACTTTTTTATATCTGCCTGTTACTTTCTTGTATTTAGTTTAACATGTGTCATGTTGAAAAAAAAAAGTATTATTTACTTTTTCAAGACGTTAACAGGAAAAAACAGACACATATCTCAAGATTTATTATTTCCGCGCCTAGTACTTACTCTTATTGTCAAAGTACAACATTTGAAAAAGGCAGGATGAAATTTTAACTTCCCGTGGAGGATGCCGGTAATAAATAACATTCAACTCTCAAACGATGCTTCCTGTAACCAACAGGATTAACGTTAATTTAAAAACACAAACAAAAAAAACGAATTTATCGTAATAGCGAGTGACAAGGCAAAGCTTCCAAGTCTGTTAACGGCATGGTGGACGGTCGGTTAGGAGTCATATAGTCATTGTTCGTTTATTCTCTTGCCCTATACAAACTATTAGTCTGCTAATGAAGGCTGTCTGACAACACTGTCCCTACAAACTATTAGTCCGTCAATGAAGGCTGTCTGACAACACTGTCCCTACAAACTATTAGTCCGTCAATGAAGGCTGTCTGACAACACTGTCCCTACAAACTATTAGTCCGTCAATGAAGGCTGTCTGACAACACTGTCCCTACAAACTGTTAGTCCTATAATGAAGGCTGTCTGACAACACTTTCGTTAGTAGTGTTATGTCACACATCAAGTTTTTATCTCTAGCTATTCAAGAGTTCCTTGTGTACTAGCTTACTGCGGCTTATCACTGGCTTAGGAAGGGAGTCCCGCCCCGGGTAGCACCTTTTCTATAGTATTTTTTTTTTTAAAGAGGGTGGGGGACTCTGCGACCAGTGCTGTTAAATGGAATAAGTAGCTTTGACCAAACGAAACTAAGTATCTTTCAGGTTCCCCCTTACCCTTTGCTACCCTTTGCTGTATATTGAGGGCCGGTATTTTTTGAACACATACAGAGTTATGGTCATTTGTTGGGGGGATTAGGAGGGGGGCAAAAATCGTGTTCGGCCCCATGTGGCACCACCCCTAGCTACGCCACTGCAGCTGACCCTCGTTACAGAGATAAGTGCATATCCATAAACTCTGGAGCAAAGCGTGACATTATGCATAAAAAAACAACAACTTGATAATGACCAATGGCGGATCCGCAGTAATTGATCTCAAGGGACTGACCATTAATAAAATGATTACCTTTTTGCCCCCCCCCCAACCCCTTCCCCCCTTTTTTTTTCTTTCTCCAAATTTGTATTTTATTTCAAAAATCCACCAATTGATCGTATATTATCTTAAGCCGAACCTGTCATCACGTCATAATTATATTGGGTAGAATTCAACGTCCGCTCTAACTAATACATTCCCAGGCACCACCCTAAGGCTTAAGTACCTTAGATGACTTTTTTTTTTTTCAAATTTAAAATTGGGACATTTCACTGACCGGCGTTTGTCCCACTTTGGTTTGAGTTGGGGGGAGGGGGGCATTAAATTGTTCCAGGTGGTTCATAGAGACCAAACAGAAAACCGAGTCTTAAATGTGAACAATGCACATGTTTACACGTACATCTATAGCGGGTCATGCAAATTTTACCGAATTCCATCAAGTTTGAGGACCCTTGCACTAATATACCGATACCAAGGTTCTATACATTTTGGAAAAAAAAAAGGGGGTGGGGGGGTAAAAGGCTTAAAGATCCTTACTCAACTTCTCTCCTAGAAATCTCCCGACTTAAGGTTTCATCTTTGATCTACTTTTCATCAGAGTAGTTACAGTTGAAGACACACACACACACACAGAGGTTGCAGGATGACGTCATTTGTATAAATCTATTGGCGACCCGTTGCTTACGATGTCACCAAGTGATCAGATGACGTCCAGTAAGTAAATCATCCAAAAATTACGGTTGATTTACAACAAAACCAGATGTGATGATTTACAGCGTGTTTTAGACACGACCTCATACAGCAGGGGTCCTCAAACATTTTAATCAGCGGGGTGTGGGGCTGGTTCAGTATCCCTCAGACACTTGGGGGAGGGGCGGGCTGGTTCACTGTCCCCCAGAACCTGGGTGGGGGGTGGGGGGCGGTTCACTGTCGCACAGACACTGCTACGGGGCTGACAATAGTATGAAAAAATAGGATCAAAATTCTTATGTACTTATCTGATTTGTAGAAAGAAAAGACAATACAATATATAAAAGGAAATACAATTTTTATAGCTATTCATTTGGGAAGCATGTTCCTGCCTTTGGCTCAATAGTTCTTCAATATCCTGGTCTATATTTGTCACTGCTACTCGTGAAACCTGAAGGATGGCCTGGCGGGGAGTGGGCTGGGAGGATTTTGCCCACGGGCCATAGTTTGAGGACCCCTGTCTTAATCCATGTGGGGTAACGGAGTGCGTTCATGACAAATGGGGCCATTTGTATTCATTTCCTAACCCCATAGTGGCGGTGGTCCAAAGTCATGTTGGCATCTCAACTATCCTTTCATGACTTCATTTTCACTTGAAAGTCGAGAATATTTCAAGGTCTTTTGGTTAAATATAAACTTAGAGCCACTGTCATAGGTTCAGAGGGGGGGGGGGGTTCGTGGTCCACCCCGATAGCACGCTTGGGGGGGGGGGGGGGCGTTTTTTTCCACTTTTCTACTACACATGGCTTCTGTTTTATATGTTTTTTTTATGTTTTTTGGTCCTCGGGTAAGAGGGGGCGGCAAA